TTCTGGGTGAGTTACACTGTACCGACCAACCTGACAAGGAAAACAGTATACTTGGAATACAAGTACTATCGTAATTGTATTCCGAGTCGACGTTATTGTTCTCCTCTGTTTATGAGAAAATGACAGATTCTGTGCAAGCTGTTATTTTTCTTCAGCATTTAATGACGCGTTCATTAAGTAAACAGTTAAACTCCTGGAATCGTTTGATTCACGCTTCACACTCCTGCCATGTTCTCAAGCTTCTGTTTCTCACGAGTTGTCTGAATTCAGCTGCAAGGCTTACTGATATAACAATCGATTTGAAAGACATTTTCCTCTTATGCCAATGCTGACTGTTACGCACATACGTCTCAATGGCGCGAGAACTAATCCAATAGGGTAGTAAGGTTGGAAACTAGCGCCTCGACTTTTCTGAGGGCCATATAGAAGTGGTAAATCAGAATAACGCCAATTAACGCTTTATCTCATTCGCGCGAAATTTGAAATTGGGGTTTGCAGGTGGGATTCGCATCCGGCTACCGACATTCTACATCTTAGTATGATACAGCTGCCTCAAGATTATAGCAGGATGTCAGCAGTAGAGATGGAGCGTATGGCGATGCAACACTTTCGCAAAGAATTGGGAAGTTTTGCATTTTCTGTCGCTGCTATCTTTATAGGTAAGTCAAGTTCGTTTCGCATACATTCCTCACAATTTATAGTAGGTTACATGTTTTCAGAAAACTAAGTGGATATTTGGCTTGTGAAATGCTGTGAATTTTTTTAAACAATAAAAATAATAGAACTCTGCATAATTCTGGTATTTTACACCGATAATATAAAGTACTTTAAGCAGGAGAAAACCAAGCCATTGAGTCGTTTGCAGTTAACTTTAGTTGCTTAGTAAGTTCTTAGCAAACAACGATTCATTCTGATTTAAAACTAGACAGCCTGAGGCTTACTCCACGTATATCCCAGTTTGGCCTAATCCTTTGAGCTGTTTAACTTTGATCTGTACGTCAAACTCTGTATAAACAAGCTTTGTAATTGCTATTTGCGCACATTATGTAAGATATACATGAAAGCCTTCATAAAAACTTTCTATGCAGTTTTTTGGTAGATAGAGTTCCATCACTTCTCATCCTTGCTCTGCAGTTTAGCTGAATATCTTTTTGACTGTTGAGTAATCTGCCATCAATGTATGACTTCCCTGTTGACCGGCAGCCATCATATATCCCCAAAACTATTCACATTCTTAAGTTTTCTGAAATCCCGAATTGCTGCTATTAATATATTACTCGGTAATCAATGCACAAGTCTAACTTTGATATCAAACTCAGCATGAACTACTCAAGACGACTGAGTGGTGTAGTATGAATTGGACAGTATTTGAGTTGTGTTTCGCAATAACTTTAATATCCTCGCTAACCTCGTAAGTTCCAAAGGACTAAAAAGTAAGTGAAAGTGTTTAAACGTCCGAATTCCTTCAGATTTCAATATGCTAGTTCAGTGCTAACGGCACTCATCTCTTCATTTCTGGCTTCAGTCGCCATAGTATTTATTTGCTAAACGTATCTACTAGACAGCCGTCTGCATGATGTCCGACTGAATAGCTTTTATAGACATGGGGAAGATCGTGAGATTTACCTTTGTCTATTCGTAATTTCCACCGACTGCATTTCAGATGAATTCTATCAAGAGTTGTCAATTTTGCTACACTAACCAACGCTTCCAGGCATAGTCATAACACGAGGTAACTCTAACGCTCAAGTAGACAAGCTCAGCCAGTCCAAAAGGTATAATGGGTTGGAAGAAGGTTAAGAGTGGTCAGACCAAGACGCGGCACCAGTCCATAAATATCTGATTATTGACCTGAGTTGCGGTTCATTGGTTCAGGTAGCTGACTTTCAACCCGTAGATCATGGATCGGAACCCCGTTACACCTACCGAGGTATGGGCTGCTAGGTAGTATCATTACACCTCACGCGGCAAATGTAATTCATTTCCTATTACACGAACGTGCACTTCGTTATCGGGTGCATTTCGATTCTTTCAGTTGTGTACAGACATGCAGACTTCCTGTTTGGGGTTGTGGAGACGACAGAAACCAATTAGTTGGTGACGTGTCTGAAAATCGGTCGTAATGACCCAGATGTATTCAAACCTTTGAGCATTTTCACTAACTTTGATTTTTGAATTCCTTCCTCTCACGTAGACTTTTGTCTAGTTTGATGCCACTTTCCCATGTGCTTGTCTGCACAGTGCTGCTAATAATGGCGACCTGAACCGATGCGCTTCTATGTGAGGTCCTACATTAACTCTGTACGTCTGAACGTCCTATCCCAGCTCTTCTGTCGGTTTCGTTATGTTCTCCCAGGGCTCTATCACCTGTCAATACACCCCCATGGTTTCGTATTTGTATGGAACGAGAGAAACCTAATTAAGTGTTCGGCAACCGGAGCAAGGGGAATCTGTTCATATGAGAAGTCACAGAAGGAGTTAGAATAAACCTTAAAGTGAATACATCGAATAAGTTGTCCTTGCGATTTGAAAAAAAGACATGGAAAAGTTGAGTAGAAAATTTGAGATAAGAACTGTTCGAAAGAAACTTACAAAGCTACAATGTGATGGGGGATATACCTGATGCGATGCTGTCCCACAGACTATTGCGAAACATGAAAAAAGCATTTTAAGCAGCTAGTCTTTTTTTCTATCACTTCCTAGCTGATGGATTGTTTCGAGTTGAGTGAGGGTCAAGTTACCGAGTTTCACCATGGATGTAAGCAGAATCCGAACATGGTTATTGAACTGACCTCACCTGACCACTGGGGTCAACGTTCAGAATTTACCTTAAGAGTATCCGGAGGCCCAGATCCTATCCTACATAGCGCTAAGCTATAGGCTAGAAAGTACACCTCTCGACTGAATACCAGTAAACAGCCGTCTGTGTGCTGTCCAAATGAATCGATCTGTAAGGACTACGAAGGATCGTGAGACTAGGCGATGCCTATTCGTAGTCTCCGTCCATGCACCCACCAACTACAGTTCGGATGATGCACAGGATGAATTCTATGAGAAGTTGCGAATTTCGCTACACCAAGCAAAACGTGCAGATGTAGTCATAACGGGAAGCTGAGCCAACCAGAAAGGCATCTTAGGAGTATTTGCGGAGTCCCATGCCAACGACCTGACAACGGTAATCGTCTGTTGCAATTTGTCCCAACAACCACTTGTTTCTGGCCACCACTAACTTTAGGCATAAGCAGAGACACTGCCTCACATGGCGTCCTCCGACACCAAACCAACGATAGACACAGATTACACTGCTATAACCCATTGTTGAAGAGGATGGATGGGGGATTGCCAACCTTTCTTGAGTATCAGATTGCACTCCGAACGGGAGCAAGCACGGGTGCGTGTATTCCTGCGCCTTACTGGGTGCAGGAAACAGCAGGCAGAGAGGCTGATTTGGTAGATGAGGACCCCAAGTGCGCATTTAGAGAGGAGTTAGCCAAGCATTTATCTGGACACGACAGCAATGCTAATCCTGAGGAAACCTGGCGACATATCAAGTCCGCTGTAGAGACAGCTGTAAGAACTGTTGGCAACATACACTTGAGGGTTAGCAAACGTCATTGGATTTCCACATCATCCAAGTTGATTGACGCCAGAAGGCTGATTTCAGCCAGCTCTGACCACAATGAAGAGCGAAAGTAGCTCAAATGTAAGTTTACGAAGAGTCTTCGCGTCGACCGCAAGCAGTGGTAGGTGGAGAAAGCAAGAGAGATGAAGAAGGTACCAACATCGGGTAACACTTCCAAACTACTTAGGCTTATTAAAGATACCGACAAGAAGCAGACGAAGTTCAGTGAGACCATCATCGAATAAGATGGGACGCTGATAACCTCGCAGGACAGGAGGCTACAACGTTGGGCTGAAGCACAGTTCAACTGCCTCACACCATCGCTTCGGTCGCCCAACATCCACACTGAACCTGTATAGGATATTTGATGTCGACCCACCGCCCCTCCTTGAAGTTGAGAAAGCTGTAACGAACCTGAGACGGTGCAAAGCAGCATGACTCGACAGTTAGCCACCTGAAGTTTCCAAGCATGGCGGTAGGAAATGGCTTCTTACGGTGACTGAGGTACTACGTAGTGTATAGGAATCGCAGATGGTGCTGTCAGACTAGTCTACTTAACTGGTCCATCCAGTCTATAAGAAGGGAAAGAAATTTCCCTGTAACAATTGTAGGAGAATTAGCTGGACGAATATGGTGTCCAAGATCTTACAACCCGTAGTTACCCGACACCTAATGAGCCCGAAAACAGCAAACTAAAAAACACCAGACAGGTTTCAGATATATACGAGAGTGCATCGGTCATTTTCTCACTCACCCCACCTCCAACGGGTTCTGAAACACCGACCGGTAGCCGTCACGCCACATTTCTTGCCCTTAGGTCAGCATTTGACTCTGTCGACCGTGAGGTGTTGTAACTGTGTCTAACTTTCTATTAGCATACTGCTCTTAGTATTCTTATGATTTATACTGCTACTATTTTCACTATTCTAAACTACAAAAGCTGCATGCTTGTTATCGTTGACTGAAAAATTGAAGTAAAAGCTAAAGAAATCTTACTCAAACAATATAGTTCGCGTACGTGTCTCGCTATGTCGATGTCACCAAAACATTTGGGCACTAACGTTAAGTATACTCTTGTACTATATTACTTTATTTGATACACCACTGTATCACTATGTTGCATCAAACAGACTGATCTAATGTAGAATGTCTTCATGTAGTTTTCACTACAATTTTTTTAAATATTTCTTTATCTTCCTTCTTGTTGCCTCATACTTCGAAGTGTGAATGAATATGACTTGTACTGTTGTACAATAATATCAGCTCCTACATCAATAATTTGTGGCATAGAGTTCAAATAAATAATCGGCTCACTTTCAAGTTTTCTCTCGACTGTGGATTATTATAAAAAGAATGATTGCGCAATTTTTAAATCGATTGAATCGTAAACCTTTACTTAGAAAATGAGTGGATACAATAGTAACCTATTTCAGTATAGCAATCAGTGTTCTATCGAAATTACCTGATTAAATTTACAGTTCAACATTGTGCAGTAAAATTATATTTTGGTACCCTATGGTGTTATCTCCTCGCATTAAAGGGCTTTTCTGGAAAGTAAACTGTCATAATTACACATCAAATAAAGAACATAAAATCAAATGTCTCTTTGAGAGCACAGTTATGCGACGAATAGCTGGTCGATATTTATGTCATGAGGTTCTGAAGGAATATAGTCTACTATTTGTTCAGAAAAAGCGAATGCAGTTAAATAAGGTCTGCGAAGGACACCTGAATGACACTGCTTCATATACCATGCAACATATCGGTCGTAATATCCTCCTCCGCGACCAAGACGATGACCAGTGCTTGTAAAGGCCAATCCAGGTACAATAAGTAAGTCCAATCCGCCTGTTAAAAGAATTAATCGAAATTCATATAGAAATGGGAGAGGTTATATCGAAGGCAGATTTATCGAAACCCCGTAATTATCCTAATCTCTTAGTTGTCCACTCTTGAAATTAGTAAAGATTTTGACTTCAACTGAAATGGAGAGAAATTGCAAAGGATGTGGAGAAATTCTTTTTGCCAGTCATCATGGAGTTACAAAAGTGGGAGTTTTAAAACCTAAGATAGATATCATCTCCACATTAGAATGTTTTTATAACACTGATCCACCTTTGAAATAAGGCGTAGTATAATTGTGCAAATTAACATGTGAATAAGTCCGTAACTCACTTATACTTTTACAGTCTGCTGAAATATGTTACATAGAAATGGGTAAGATTTACACTTCTAATAACTAGTTTATGAAGCCGGTGGATCAACATAGTCAGCGAGGTATCATAGTGACATGTAACGCACAAACAATGCAGTGTTAAGAAACTAATTGTTTGTATGCTGTGCGGTATTGTGAGTAGATTTATGACACACCTACTGTGGTAAGGTTTATAATAGTAACTGACTCATATGCTGGAGGAAGTGTTCGGAGTCCTGAGAAACGGGTTCAATATACACAACTTTTATGCAGCTCACTCAAAGACCTACTGGCTACATGACAAAAAATAGGCTTTTGGAAAGAGTAGTAAGTTGAGCTCTAATTAAAGATAGCATAGTTATTTTCATCACTGGTGACCTTATCTGGAGAAAACATGTTTTATTGAAGTGATTTAAAGAAATCCTACCATTTTAAAACTTAATAAAAATTGAGATTCTTCAAAGCTCCTAGTGAATAAGTTTAGTATTGAGTAGACTTCTAGTTTTTCGGCTATTTTCCGCACAATAATCGTCAGTCTAATGCTATTACAGTGACTGCTTACTTTGTAGTAACTTAAACCATATTTCATAACTAGCAACTCAATTAATCGACTCAAAATATGCACTGCTGAACTATTAAGAATAGTCAGTAAGGATCTGACCACCTTAGTTGGCGTGTGTTATAATTTTCCGAAAGTTATATCTACATCCTTTATTATCGAACTGTCAGTAAGTTTCACATTTAGTCCTGTCACCTTTACTACAAATAAAAACCTGCATCCGAACTAATGTGATGACCGTTATAAACTAAATTTACCAAGTTATTACAGCAAATATCTTAATATCATCACCTTAATAATGGTTCTCTAAAACAACCAGAACCTATAAGCAGTGTGTGAAGAGTAATTACGGAACCAATATTTCTCATACGTTATATACACTGAAAACTGACAAGATTGATTCGAAAATATTTGAGTCAAAGGTATTTGGTGACTTACAAAATCATTTATTGGAGGACCGGGTTAAACCATACTTCATGTCGCTAAATGCTGATAAAAGTCGATTTTGAAGGAACTACAAGTGTCAGAATACAGTTATTGTGTTATCACCATCTCTCTATTGGATGGAGATTGCTTATTAGGCTGTGATTAAGTTCCATTCATATATAATCAGTACGTGAACACATTTGTTCTGCTGTCATTTTAAAAAAAGCACAATTTATCTTAACTGTAAAATTTTCGCTGCAGATGATGATATTGACTTACATAACTGTTAACCAAGAAACCTATTATTACTAATTGTAATGTGTAATTTACCTTGACTTGTAATGATATCTGACAGCTCTTCATTCGGGATTGGATCGGGTTCTTTGATTCCCCATTTATTAGGCTTCCAAAGTTCAATCTCTTTCAGAGACTTAAGGGATCTCATGTACATACAGGGATAGTTTTCTGAAGCGTTAAACATAACTTGCGGAACAAATACACTCTTCCCATCCAAAAGTGCCTTCTCGATAATTAACGTTGTATCAGGTTCTTCAGGTAAATTAATGTAGACAGCAAACTTCTGAAGGTTTTGGTATTCAGGGAAACTAAGAAACTGGGGAAATATAAAAGCAAAAACGAATATTAATATACTCCAATTTCAATAGCTATGAATTTCCTATAAAGTGTACAGTGCTTATGTATCCAGACTGAAAAAATGTCACTTAAAATCGTCACTAACCAAATATTCCCTTCATAGAATTTATTTGTTAAGTAACGGAGGTTCTAGTCAGTCAATACCAACGCCAATCTCGTATTACTGCGTAATCATCCCAATCGCCACACAACACCAAGAGAAAAGACAGAAAGATATGCAAAAATCCCCTCTCAAAACAAGAAAGGAGAGGAACGAGTAATTCGGTAGAAAAACTTTGGTGTTTTCATTCACAAGGCTGTACAGCTTGGCCAAAATTCCCCGTTATCTCCCCTGGATTCGTCGTTTATAGTGAAGAAACCGCGTTAGTAATCCTGAGGCGAGGTGGCGTGTTTCAAAAAGATGAAAGTCATCATTCAATCGATTTGGTCATTTTGAAACACCAGCTCCGACATGTGTTATAAATTTCATCCCAGAGACTATCAGATGCTCACTGTTCGACCACCCTAAGACTAGTTGGAAGAAGCAGAGAATCAGTGGTCAGTGAATCATGATACCCTGGTATGAATGACGATTGAGTTAGGTTTGAATCTCACAACTACCTGAATAGGGTCCGAGAGAGCATGTAACTCAGTGGCTTGAGACAACAGCAGACCAGGGGCGATCAGGCTGCAGTTTTCTCGTTTCTTCCACTACTGGAAAGTAAAATAAAAGTAGTGAATGCTCCTTTGAATGTATGTTTGAGTCTGCAAGTCTGGTAACTCACTTCCTGTTGTTTCCCATTGTCTCCCACATTTCATGAGTCGTCATACTATTGCTTTATTATTTTGTATGGCGCATCTCTTCATCCTCATAATGTACGAAGTTCCCGATCTAATAATTACAACAAAAAGAATTTTGTATATATGTACTTTAGTTGGTCAGGGGAGAGCAACCAATTACCATGTTGTCCAGTCCTGAGCGCAGACCGAATTCTATCGATCATAGTTGCAATGTAGCCACCAAGTTACGAGGCTCAGCATCGCGATGCACATTGGTAGATATTCGTTGGTTAGAGGCAATTGGCAGGAAACCTTGGACCTTGGTTTCGTGCTTATTGGTACTCCTCAGTTCTACGGGAGGTCGATCGCGACCCGAGTACCTCAGTGGTAACGTTGCTGACTACAACACTGCGTGGCGCAAGTTCGAATCTCAGACGGGACACCAGTTCCGTCGAGATTGCAGATACACCTTTCTGACGAGTGCTAACAAGCACGAAACCTAGATCCAGGGTAGCTTTTAGTGGGTACGTTTGGTGTGTTCGATAGTCACAGCAGTCTTTTCGGCACAATAACAAGCAGAATAAAACGTCCATGCTCAAAATATCATTCGCATCATGAAATAACCAAATGCATGAATAGGAAAGGTTACTAAGTTTGGATAAGGGGTTGTGTAACAGACGAAATTTTTGTAATATCAGATGTTAAAAATGAGCACAGAAGATAATGGAATAAAAGGATGATTTAGAAAGGAGACTTGAAGCTAACACCATGAGAAGGAGGTGGACAACTTACGTACTTAAAGCATGATGAAGATTTTACTTCTCTGACGAACAGTTATCAAAACAGATTGAACGGATGCTGAGGAAATCAATCTTCACTTTTCCTATGCGGAATGGCAGCCAATGGACATGCTTTTACAGATGAGTTCCTTGTAAATCACACGACAGACTTAATTATGTATCGAACTACCGGCATTCGATAAATATGCACACAGGATGGGTTGGGAAGAAAATTCCTCTTCTGAAAATCTTGGACAAAAATGCTCACCACGTTTTATGAAAATAAAAACCGATCTTCATAAAGAGATCTGTTTCATGAAAACACTACATGAATCGGGACCTTAAGCGTGATCCTACGGCTGTTACTTTAAAGAAAGGAATACCAAACTCCTCAGGACGATTTTCGCATCAGCATTTGATGGTTTTCTCCTGTGGCCCGTTTTCCTCAAAAATATTAAGGACAAGCTACTGCATATCACTAATTTGATGCGCATGTATGTTTAACTGCTGTTGCGAAACAAGGCATGCAGATCATGAGAGATGAGTTTTATTCTAAAAATTCAGGAACGCTGCTCTACTTGTTGGCAACGAGATTACAATAGGTTTGTGAGGAATGTCAGTCATGAAGCACACTGTCTACATCAGACATACACCATCAAAAGTTACTCCAGGGAAAAAAACGTTCCACGTTTTCGAACGATTTGCACCACCGATGTCTTAGCCACATGAAAACTCCTGACTTATGAATACGAAAAATTGCTCAACTTCTCATGATGCTAGCTTCAAGTCTCCTTTCTAAATCATCCTTTTATTCCATTATCTTCTGTGCTCATTTTTAACATCTGATATTACAAAGATTTCATCTGTTACACAACCCCTTATCCAAACTTAGTAACCTTTCCTACTCATACATTTGGTTATTTCATGATGCGAATGATATTTTGAGCATGGACGTTTTATTCTGCTTGTTAGTATCGAATACACCATACATACCCACCAGAAGCTGCATATAGTTCCACTGTACAGCCTCACGAATGAAAACAGGAAATATGTTGCAGGAAGATGAAAGAGATGCGACAATGCGAATAATGAAATGCAGCAGGATGATTAGGGTGAAGATAAGATGTCAAAACATCTCTTTTGAGCCATCTAGTCGCCAACTAACGGTTTCAGTTACTACGCCAACCCTAACTTCCCTCTACACGGTTTAAACTGATACTTGGAGACTTCATAGACTGATGCCATGTTTTAGCATAACCATTATTATCTTCCTCAACCGCAATTTCACCACAACACGAAAAATAGTTTGTTACTTAGATGGAAAGTTATGAAGATTAATAGCTGTCTCTATCGACACATGACGGTGTGAACTAAAATAACAGAAACCTTTTCTAAACGAAGTCTACTTGTACATGTCCATATGAATATTCAAATATGATGCGAATCATCATGCATATAATTCACCTTTTTTCAAGGCACTTGTCCCATTAAATTCGTCACAGCAAGGATATTCTCGATACATTATTGCAATCAGTCTTTAGATAGTGTAATTAGAAGTTTATCTGAGCAATGTGATGGATATCCACAATACATCTCGAACATTTTGATCATACATTTGCTTCTCAATCCCATTTATATAAAACTGAAGAGCGGGAGGACAATTATAATAACTAAATTAATAGGGGATCAAAATTAAGAAAGATGAGAACAAACAGGAAGAGTTACATAGTTGATCCGAATCTTAGTCAGAAAAAAACGTTTACCAAGATTGGTGCAGTATAAGAACAAATTTTTTTGGTAAACATAACTGGTTTCGATTTGTGTCCCTGACTGTTTCTATATAAAACTTTGAAAGCTGTTTGGACTTTAATTTTGTGACCTGTTCCTATAACATGTTTAGCTATCGATGAAGAAGATCGTCTCCCACCTCCGCTTATCAAGGTTTCACACTCCATTGGTTTTTGAAGCCATTTAGGTACATGTCTTCTCACCCTCAACTGCATGGCTTGATTCCTCCTCCCAATGTATGTGTGACCACACACATACACACATGTAAACTGGTAAACACAGTGGAATCTGACGTAATCATTGACGCAATGTTTAAATTTGTGGTGGAGCATGTGTTTTGTTTTTCCCCTAACAATAAGGTTAGATGTGTAATGTTTTTTAAGGGCTGATGTTAGCCTATGTCTCAAAATTATGCCATTCGACTCCACTCTATGTGGTAGAATGATATGGACGCTTTTCTTAGGAACCATGTATAGAGTTTGCTTCTACAGTGGTTTACAAACTCCAACGGATATCCGTTTTTCATAAGTGTTTTGGTCAGCAATTCGATATCTTCATCCATCTGATGTACAGATACGACAGATCGTATTAAATAAGCATTTTACTAGACCTCGTTTGTAATAGATCGGACAAAGAAGTTGGAAATTCAGATATTGTCCTGTCTATGTAGGCGTTCTGTAAACTGACCGTCTCACTGAACCATCTTCTAGTTGGCTCAGGCGTACGTCTAAGAATGTCAGATAATTATTATTCTGTCACAAGTCAGGGTGATATGAGGGCCCTTATGCACCAACCTATCAATCGATTATGTTACAACCCTATATACTAAATTTCTCCTTCGAGTGAAAAAGTTTACACTCACTAGAAAATGGCATATTTCAAAGCGCAACAGTACAAGATGACCAATATCAGGAATAAGACAATAATTCGAGAAAAAAGAAGTACTGCCAAATGAATGTCAAGCTGTTACTCACCATTCTTTACACTGACCAAAGAGGCTTATCATACTATCACATAGTTCAGGGAATACTTGTTTACCCTATGAGTAACTGTCATATCTCAGTTACCTCACATCATGTACATAGACAGATATTAACAACTGGACGTATGTGCTACATGTTCCGAATATCTGTTGCTACATTTTCACAATGTAACTTAGTAATTTTATCCATCATTTCACAGTGGATTTCTAACCTAAACACTGTTCATTCATTAGTTTCATACAAACGCCATTATTATTTACGTGTCCTTGAGTTAAGTAAGTTAGATGCCCATGACGTGCAACCTTGGAAGAATTTAGTTTGAGATAAAAAGGACAACAAAAATGAGTGACTTTTGTTGACAGTGGATTCACATATTTCAAGTAGGGTAAAAATACTTCTTCAGTTATTCATGAAACAATTTTTTTCCTTATTTCTGAAATGTCACGACAGTTTCAGAATTTTCTTCCAATCAACAGTGGCAACTCAGATATGATAAGAAGAGTTATCACTCATATAATGCACAAGAATTACAATGAGTGTTTATAATTTGTGGCTATATCCATAATGATAGGTTTAAATAAACCGTACATGGTTGCTAGTGTCGTAAGTAAACATACGAAGACCCCAGATCATCAGTAAATTAAATATAGCATGTTTTGCATAGGAGGCATTCAGATACGACTTCAGTTCACACAAACTGTATACATATAAGCATAAATAGACAACTCTGAAAACCTAAATAGTATAACTATAAACCTCGACTTTCAGCAGACAATGTCGCAACAAAGTAAACTCTTGACGTTTTGATTGTCCATGTCCCTCAGAAAAATTATAGTTTTTATGCTGTGATCACCATGTTAACACGAACATATCACAATCAGTTTGGGTTTTTCACTCATAGTCTTACAACAATTTTGTTGACTGTTCACTTCTTAACTACTGGTTTTCAGTTGAACGAAAACCCGGATCACCGCCCTGCTTAAAAATACAAAACTTGAACAAATAGCAACAATTAGGCGAAATTCATCAACTTTGTACAGGTTGACGTGTCAAATAATGAATTACATATATTTCGTAACAGTAAAGAACATTATCGGCTACCAGGCAACCTAGTAGGGTAACATATTTTAGGACCTATAACCAGTTGTGTCCAAATCACTGACCCACAGAGATAAAATTTACATTAAGCAGCTACAAGATAACGAAAAACAAAGGTATCGAACAATAAAACTTTGTCAAGTTTCAGTAAAAAGACCTATTCTCAGCTATTTGACCTAAGGTTTCCAGTTCCTTTTGTTCTACAAACAAATATCGATATTAGTTTGCCTAGTAGGACAATCACTGACTTCGTGATCTAGACCCCTTTAAAGATTCCATCTATTCAGTTACAAATCGAGACAAATATCGTGAGTAAAAGCAGGCTGTAAATAAGTATGCGGAACAAGTGGTTCAACTATCTTGGCCAATATAATTATCAAAAACAAAATGCAACCCCCAAACTTTAACTCTTCATTCATACTTAATTTTTGAGTTAAAGTTTGGAGAAACTCACACTGACAAACAGAGATAAATTCGGTAATCGATTATCTAAGCACCTGTTTCAAAAGGAATTGCGACTTTTCCATCCGTACAGAAGGGGTCATACGTTTCAGGACTTCCCGCATCCGACATCTAATTACATCTTTGCTGCTCATAATGACCGCCACTAAAACGTAAAAAATAAACAGGAGGATTGGTAACAGAACTGTAAAGACAACTGTATGCTGTACAAACTATATTCATGAAAAATCTGTACACGAAAAATAGTGTTAGGTTAAAGATGACATAAATGTTGTGAATGCGTTAATAGATGGTTTCGATTCGGGTTTAGACGCCACTTGAACAACTTCGGACTTGAGAATATTCATTTTGGATTTTTTCTTCTTTTTCTTAACTGATCTACATATACATAAAATCATTAGATATCAACAGAAAAACTAACTTGGCTTGTATCTTATTTTCATGGGTAAGACTTCCATTCGAAATTACCGGCATCTCCGTTGGCCTGATCATCACAAAGAAACAGAGGTTGTACAAATTGATCGTTTTGTTAACGCAAATGAAGATTAAGTCCATAAAATGCAGTAAGATTTAAATATAGCAAAATAAGGAAGAAGTCAGAACTCTGTTGCTTCATTGTGGAATGTTATCTGAAACAGAAGTAAACTTAAGATGTCATAAGACAGCACCAACCGGTGATTGTTAACTACTAATTCATAACATCCACAATCATCTGCATTTGAAAAGCACTATAAGGAAAGTGGCAAATAAAGAACGATGAAACAAGTTTTACGAAATAAAGCCTAATTAGGACGTAACTATCTCTCGTCACCTAACTTTGACAAGATTGACCTTGTCAGAGTAAACCCCTTGATTGACCTTGAGTATACAGCTAACACAACCCCTTCAGGTTAAGATACTGACCAGGTGTAGAGTCTTCTGTACATAGTAAATGGAAGTTCGAGAATTTTTAAGGCTAAGCATACTGCTTTGCATTTTGCTTTGTTCTACAGTATTTCTGTGAAACATGGCCACCAAAGGTAAAGAAAACAAATGTCCGAACAACACTGCCTTCGCAGTATGGACTGTGTCGGGCTAAAAAAATGCATCAGTCTTTGAGTGTTGGCCTTATTCGTGTACAGGAATGCAGACTTCGCTGCTGGGGTTCGCATGATAACCGAAACCAGTGATCTGAGAAGCTAGGTTGTGCGCCTCAAAATTAACATCAGTGACGAAAGAGCACGACTCAAACTTAGAGGAAAAACAAAAGTCTATACAATGCAGTTTAGTAGTGAACAAATACGTCCGTACTGAGTACTTCCCATTCTTAAACGAAGAAAGGTTAGTGCACACGTTTCCTGAACCTACTTAGACTTATTTTAGTGCCGTTAGTCTAACCATCTTCCAAGAAACATATTCGCTTCAATTCGAGGCGGTAACATTGCTTCTGTAGGTTCCGGTATCAACTCCGGTCGTTTTTCTGCCAATCGGCTGAAGGCAGAATGTGCCCAGTGATAAATTTAGTACAAGACTAAACGTTAGTGTGGCTGTAACAATTGTCTGTCGATACCACAGATAAGTTCCAAATGCACTTGACCGGCATCAAACCCTTTGATCCAAGCTCAATGTCAGACAGACAATATCAACGTAGAACATGGCACAGAAATGCATCTGTTCAAGTCGCTATAATTAACAGCACCATGCAAAGAACAAGTGTATAGAGAAAGAATGATATCAATCAAAGTTGAAAAAAGTGTATAGGAGCAAAATGAATTCAAAAACCAAGGTTGGTGAGAATTTTCAAGCTTTCAAAGACGTCAAGGGGTGAATATATATCAGCACGATTGTGACCAAACTTCACTCATGTCACCAAGGATCTCCAACCAATGATTCCTATAGTCTCAAGGACCTCAACTGGATAGTCCACACGTCCGCCTTACACGACTTAGAGCAACAGTAGAAGGATTCATGGACTCTATATCAGACTGTTTATTTGATGAAGTACAATGATACAGTATAATTTACTTGAGGACGTTTCAAGCAGAATTTATTGCTCATATTCATATCACTATGAAGGGTACTGAGCAAGTCAGTCGAAAACGTGGTAAACCTTCACTGACTGAGGTTGCCTGGATGCGTGTTGCATATGCTGAGTTATCGCCTCCACTGACGCAGTGTTAACAGAAGTAGGTTTGGGTCAGAAGACGGCGAATGCTGATCATACCGAAACTTGCCAAGAGTCTATGAATCCTTCTACTGTTGCTCTAAGTCGTGTAAGACGGACGTGTGGACTGTCCAGTTGAGGTCCTTGAGACTATAGGAATCATTGGTTGGAGATCCTTGGTGACATGAGTGAAGTTTGGTCACAATCGTGCTGATATATATTCACCCCTTGACGTCTTTGAAAGCTTGAAAATTCTCACCAACCTTGGTTTTTGAATTCATTTTGCTCCTATACACTTTTTTCAACTTTGATTGATATCATTCTTTCTCTATACACTTGTTCTTTGCATGGTGCTGTTAATTGTGGTGACGTGCACTTCTGTGTGAGATCCTACGTTGAGCTGCCTGTCTGTGAAGACTTGGATACTCCATAAGAATTCAAAATTGTCACCAACTTGAATAGAAATAGATCTGGTACACCTCAAAATCAATGCTATGAATGACGATACCAAGCAATGGAGAATATTTGTAGCTCAGGTGGATGGTTTTGGTTGTATTGTGTTCTCTGAGCTCAGAAAACGCAATACAACCAAGATGATACCAAGTAGTTCGACTTTCAAAGGTATTGTAAGATATGGAACTGTCTACTCAAACCGAAAGAAATCCTAAGAGACATCTTGAGACCCCTAATGTTTCAACTTAAATCTAGTGCATACGCAGGTCAGAAACTCAAGTCTAATCGGAAAGATGCAAAGAAAAATAACGGAATGGTTCAATAACAACATAACGCGGCTAAATTAATTTATTCGCCAATTCAAAACAATCCTGAGACTACCAACAGCTACACTCACAAATTAAACTCCTGAGGTACAAATCCGCGAGATAACTCCTTTGCGCCACATATCGTACAAACGAATAACTTTAAACCAAATATTATATTGTGATTGTATTACTTGATCAATCCCTTGTGATGCTAATGAGCGACGACGACATTTTCTTTTCTTAATTCGAACTTTCTTGTTCGTAATATCAAGCGAATGAAAACATCCGAAACATATAGTACGGCAACATGGGGGCTCTAAAAAAAACCATGTTATCAGAAGCAGAAAATAATAATATGAATGAATGCCTCCTCACATACGGAATAACTTAAGTGTAGTTCCGGAGCTTCTATGATGATTACTGTTGATTAAAATAGGCAACGAAATCACCTTTAAGAGGTAGACATGAAAAAAAAACAAGGATTTCATATACTGAAATAGTGAAGAATATTTGTAGCTCAGGTGGGTGGTCTTGGTCATATTGTGTTCTCTGAGCCGCGTTATTTAATCGTGAAGCTTTCATCGTTTTTCTAGACGACATCATCGTACTGAAGTTAGTGCCGATGATGTCGTCTAGAAAGACGATGAAAGCTTCACGATTAAAACAACCCAGCTCAGAGAACACAATATAACCATTGCACATACTTGATAAACACGAAAAAATGAGCAATACAGAAGAAACAGCAACCAACTGCTGACAGTGCGAAGTGAGTGTGACCGATGTAAACAGTGACAACAGTGTATTAACTGCTAACTTCTAACCCATGTTTTCACAAGCTTGAAGTATGGCAGTATAGGAAGAACTAGGGGTTTAAAACACTTCCGTCCAAGCAGTTCTGCTTTACGTCTGTGTGTTAGATCATCTTTGCCTCTGTAGGATTGCTTGTATCCGGTGGTAACACCATGTAAGTAATCCTGAGGTATGACAACACGTGTTTGGACATGATGGAGGCCGTCATTCAATAAGTTAAGTCATCTGGAAAAACCAGCTTCGGTGGCTTCAACATGTGTTACGCATGTCTTCCCGATGGCTTTCACACCCTTTATTAATTCCTAACCCTAGGACTGGATGTAGAAGCGGAAGGGTGTTCAGTGTATGACATGGGGCCGTGAGATCAAGTATAGTTGTATCGAGTTGGCATCTGTAGGTGCATCACGACTCTGGGTGAGGCCCAAAAGAGATCACCCAACTTTAGAGGCTTGAGGCGTTATCAGATATGGCTTAGAATCGAAACCAGTAGCGGTCAAGCTGTAGCTTCCTTCTATCTTCTGCTGCTGAAAAGTAATGAGTGTTTTGTTTTGAATGTATCTCACAGACTGTCGTTCTAATCATCCTATTCTTATTGTGTTTTGTTTTTACCCACTTCCCTTCGCTTTATATCTTCATAATGTTGTCATGTCATTTTGGGTGGCACATTTCTTGGTGCCTTTGCTGTACCATGCTTGTGTTCTAATAACAATAATCACTGATCTAGGACGTTAACTGTCGACCAGGGGCTTGTGATAGGTAAGTCAATTAGTGTTAACGTGGGACACGGCATTATTGAGTTATGATCCAAGTTGCTTCAGCTTCTATCGACCATCAAAGTAGTAAGCGCATATGATAGATGGAGAAATAAGGAAAGAAGTAATCATGAGTGGTAGGAATTTATGAGATGAGGACAAGAAGGAATGAATGAACAACGAAATTCGGAATGAGGATTTAGATGAAGATAATGTGTAGATGCCTCTGCACCAATTATATCGATTCTGAGCCATAATCGGAGAAGTACCTCAGAGGAGAGGTTGGTCGTTGCCTCAGCAACTCTTTTTAATTTCAAGCAATGGAACCCACTTGACCTGCTTCAGTCTTGACAACTGAAAAGCATACAGTATAATTATTACAATCACAAAACCCTTTTTCCTCCTAGGTCATTCTGTAGTATTAGTTTGAGTGAATACTAAATGTGGATTAGTTGGTTTATAATTCAGTTCTAAAACAGCACAAAATGACAGGAATATCGGTTGAGAGAAATGAAGAAAGACTGGAAGGCAAAGATGTTGAAGATTGATGATAATCTGAAAGAACTTGAGTGCTGATAGAGTTGAGAGTGGTTGACCACAGCTTTAAACATAACTGTTAGTGTAAAGTATCTAATCATAGCTTTCTTCTCAAAGTTAGAATTTCAGTAGAAGACGAATAAGATGAACTACACTGTATTGAATATCAAAACCCACATAGTATCATAATGAACACACCGTAACCAATTACAATTAAAGCACCCTATTACGATCTGTTGAGCAAGATGGTGAAGCAGAAGATGAACATTAGGCAACATTCCTGAAGAAACCTGCGTAGAAGAGCACTGGAACTCTTCGAAAGAGATGTGGAAGAAAACCTGCATAACAGTGCTAGGAAGGAAGAAGCAGGACGAGACAAAGAATGGATCACGACGGACACATGGAAGGTGATAGAGCAGGGAGAGGAGGATGGTCGTGGTGAAGCAGAAGATGAACCAGTGCAGTGCAGGGATGAACAACGGAAGGGGGAACTGAGCACAATCCATAAATACTGCACTGGACAAAGAAGTGAAGAAGAGTGCGCACCAAGACAAAAGACACTCCTACAACACACTAGCAAGTGAAGCAGAATAGGCTGCTGGTAAGAGAGACAAATAACCAGGCTACTATCTGCGAGAGAAGAAATCAACACAGATGAAACCAGTGAGAGATAGTGAAGAAAACGTAGTTACCACCAAAGAGGAGAAACAAAGGATTGACCATTTCAAAAGATACTTGAACCGATCACCACCTGCAACTCGCCCAGAAACACCACCAGCGACCCAGCCACAGAACTACCAGCGAGCACAAACCCTCCGACAAAAGCTGAAGTGAAGTCCTGAAAGCCACAAAGTTGCTGAAATCTGGCAAAGCAGCAGGACCAGATGGAATTCCACCAGAAGCACTGAAAACAGACTCGGAGACAGCGGTAGACATGCTCGCACCACTACTGCAGACGGTTTGGAAGGAGGGAAGGAAGGACAGGTACCTGCCCATTGATTGGAAGAATGGATACCTTGTCAAACTCCCAAAGAAGAGCGACCTAAGTCTTTGCTAGAACTCGAGTGGAATCATGCTCCTATCTAACCAAAGCAAAATATTATACCGCATCATTCCGGAGAGACTAAACAATGCGCTGGATTCTAAATTACGACCTGAACAGGCTGGCTGACTGACTTCAGGAAGTAAAAATCATGTGTGGATCAAATCGCAACGCGACACTACGCATCATCATAGAACGGAGTATAGGATGTCAGTCAACTCTCTACCTCTACTTCACCGACTTTGAAGGGGCCTTCGACAACGTCCACCGACAAGCAATTCGGCAGGCAGCTGCTTCAACAATACGGCATGCCACAAATCATTATCAATCTCATTCAACAGCTATATGAAAACGCCACATGCCGAGTGATTAACAATCGAAAGCTCAGTGCCACCTTTGAGGGGAAGACAGGAGTAAGATAAGGCTGTCTACTATCTATCACCGATAATCTTCCTGGTTATGATCGACTGAACTGGATCATGCAGCAAACTGTGACGAGCGAGAAGAAGGGCATACGCTGGCTGGACCAATGAAAAGACCCCAGAAGAAGGTTTGCATTTCACCGACGATTTGTGTCTAATATCGCACAAACTCGAAGATCTACAGGCAAAAACCAACAAGTTGACAGAAGAGGTAGAGCAGCGAGGACGAAAATTCCTTCAGGTGAACGTAGAGAAGACAGAGGTGATGAAGATACCCAACCAACAACAACAACAACAACAGCAACAACAAGTACCGATCACCATGAACGGGAGAAACCTAAAGGAAGTTGTCTCTTTCACCTACCGAGACAAGGCAGCATCGTTTCAACTACAGGCGGCGGCGGTGGCGGCGGCGGTGGCGGCACGGGTGAGGATGTCAAAGCAGCCAGGATCGGAAAAGCAAAATGGGCCTTCATTAACCTGAAATCAGTGTGGATATCTTCTGCACTCAGCATGTGGAACAAGATGCGGATTTTCAACACTAATATTAGTCAAGTCAGTGCTTCTATATGGTTCAGAAGCTTGGTGTGTCACGAAAAGTATTTCCAACAAACTACAAACATTCATCAACAGTTGCCGCCTACGCTAGCTCACTCGATACTGAAGATCACACGGCCAGAAAGAATAAGAAACAAGGAACTCTGGGAAAGAATCGATCAAGAACTCATCGCCCAAGAAATATGCAGAAGGAGGTCGAGATGGATTAGATTGAGCATACACAGAGAAGACCATTCGGGGAGACCATGCGCCAGGCCAGGTCCTCTGGTGGAATTCAAAGGGAAAACGACGAGTTGAGCGTCCGAGGATGACATGGAGGAGATCATGTGAGGAAGAAATGAAAGCTTGTGGGCAGCCGTGGAGCCAGGTTGAAAAGACTGCAGAGAAGAGGGTGCAATGGAGGTGTGCTACTGAAGCCCTACGTTCCACTAGGAACCCAAGGGACAAATAATACTAATAATAATAATAAAGATCTTTTAGTCGTACTGAAGCACATTCGAAGACTCGTTATCTGGAATTCGCTTACATGCGTACCAGAATGGTTGTAAAACAACTGGAAAGCTAATCAAAAAGATAGTTTTCAGCAGAACTCTCACGGACACATAGACATTTAGGACGATGAGTTACCTCATCTCATCACAATAAATTGGAACCAGAAAGAGAGTCAACGTTTTCCGTTATTTTTTCATTTTTCTGTATAAACTGTTTTAGGGACACTGAGCTTCTGCCTTAAAATCTGTTGAGGAACAACAACAGCATATTCACTAGAAGGTGGAGGTTTATTTTAACACTGGATATGAAACCAAACAACCAAACAAAAGGAAAATAAATTTTATAAAGTTTGCTGCACTCATACCCAGTCTGGTGACAGATTCACGGTTAGATAAGTCAATTACACTATTCGCTATGGGATTTACATCATTTTCAAGGAGTTGTTGATGATCAAGAAAAGTTCTATACGGACACAGATAAAATAATATTCATGACCTTACACTACCTGTACATAAACACATCCATTCAACTAATACCGACCAAAACTTAATACCATGTTGCTTATTTACCCCCTACTGCTTTGAAGCACAAGATGTATGTCATGAACTGACTGATGAAATCATCATAGAACCTCGCACACAGGTGCTTCGGCTCAAGCTGCCACACTTCACAGTAGCACACAAATAAAAGGTGGATAAAAAAA